TCAGAAGTCAGGGCAACCTTAGTATAAAAAGTACAGTACACTCTATTGCCCCACAGCCCAAGCTTAGTCCCATAAAGACTGTCAGAAGTCAGGGCAATCTTAGTATAAAAAGTACAGTACACTCTATTGCCCTACAGCCCAAGCTTAGTCCCATAAAGACTGTCAGAAGTCAGGGCAATCTTAGTATAAAAAGTACAGTACACTCTATTGCCCCACAGCCCAAGCTTAGTCCCATAAAGATTGTCAGAAGTCAGGGCAATCTTAGTATAAAAAGGAATGAAGTCAAGAGAAAATTACCAAATATATAACTTTATTACTTAGAAATTAAAAAAAAAAACTCTAAAATAAGTTTACTGGTACAAGTAAATTTATAAAATGTTCTTGTGTAAGTCTCATCTTTTTCCATTAAATTTATTTTTCCATTGATGTAACTATCAAATTTTTCTTTTTCATTAAAGGGGACACAACCATTAAAAATTGCAGTTGTAATTAAAAGAATTATCTCCCCTTACCAAAGTCTATCGCCCTTCATTTATGATTAAACGAATTATCTCCCCTTACCAAAGTCTATGACCCTTCATTCATGATTTGAAAAATTATCTCCCCTTACCAAAGTCTATCACCCTTCATTTATGATCTAAAAAATTATCTCCCCTTACCAAATTAAAGTATATGCCCTTTAACATGTTATAATATTTTTAGCCATGGTGAGTCCAAACGTATAAAGATGATATTAATTATTGCAATATAGTTCATTATTTTAGTCTTCATGACCTAACAGACATTAAATCCAGATTACTTTTAAAAGTTTGCTATAAACATGATATTTGTGTTCAGTTTATACAAAACATTTAAATTTGATCTTACCAATTTTGAAAATATTGAGTCTAGATATATTTTCGTGAGTCCTGGACTAATGGACTCGCCTTAGTGAGAACCCTGCTTCATCATCAAAAAAATATCTCCCCTTCAACATGTTATAATATAACATATTTAAAATGGAATGTGAAGTCATTATCACCATAAATATCATTCTCATTAATAAAAACAGTATTTCCATGGATGACAATTATTTAATATATACATTTTTACAATAAATTATAGTATTTTATAATTTGCAAGCATACATCAATGATTTTATAAATACAAATCAAGTACATTGTATATGAGATAGTCAATTTAGTTAGTCATTGTCAAATCACAGGTTGATGCCAGTAAATATTAATATGCAATATTGTTATGAAAAGGATATCCATTTAATGAAATTCTGAGAAAAAAAAAATCATCAAATGCTAATAAATATAATTTTTTTTTACAAATTAGTTAAATTATAAAACATATTTAATTGAAAAGAAAGTTACAAATAAATAGATACATATAAATATATATATATAATGGAATATGGAATGTAAATGTATAGTCTAGACTCCAAAAATAGTATTTAATTTAGGCATAAAGGGATAATGCACTCATTTGTTTATGTTCATACAAAGAAAAACATTCTGTCAACTAAAAAGAAAGTCGTTAATAAAATTATACATGTACACCAATTTTGAATGTCCTCAGTTTTAGAAACACTAGAACACACCCGTGAAATTGCGGGTATTAAGAGCCTGGTTGAAAGTATGTAAACTGTCGTAGGATGAATTTTTGTAAAAGATTTTATGACTGGAGAATTTCTGGAAAGGTACCAAAAGTCATAGGTACATTGGGACAGGACAATTTTTTTTAGCCCTCCCCTTTTTTTCTAAAGTCGGCTTTTTTTTGTTTTCAGTTAATTTTAACTATTTTCTAGATTTTCTAAATACTATGAACATACATATTCTATAAATAAAGTGTATTTGCTATTTACTATCAATTCCTAGTTTACTATCCAAGGCCGGTCACTGATATATTAATTACTAATTAATTTTAAAATATAGAGAGTCTCTTAGTCTATATAATATATCAGTGACCGCCGTGGTTAGTAACTGTAATTGATAGTAAATAGCAAAAACACGTTATTTATAGTATATGTATGATCATAGTATACAGAATAAACTGCTTCGCTGAGCACAGCTGGATACGCACGCAGAGGTCCAACCCTGAAAAGTTGGAGCAAAAATGGACACAATATTCAAGCTTGATACAGGTCTGAATTTTGATTGTATTAAATATTTGACATATTATAGGTTTCTGAATAAATGTAGTCAAAGAACTTGAAATTGGTTATATGAATTGAATAAATATTCAATCAAAGATTTCTTGCTGTTGTGCAATACACTGTGCTGTTGCGCAATACTTAGTAAATCTGTTGTCAGACTATAAACAATTAAAGTTCAATTAATTCTCAATGTCATATTAGAAATTTATGAATATGTAAAGGGAGCTTTCATCAATAGATATAAACAATTCACCAAAGTTTCATGAGAATTGCTGACAGCATTTTTGAGTTATTGTCCGAGAACTGGAAAATCCCCCCTTTTTTAATGAACAAGAGTGCACACACTGAAATGTCTCGCCTTCTTTAGTAATCATTGATATTATGTTGATAGTCCTAAATATAAAGTTTTACTACAAGTATAACATAAACTTAACATGATCCAAGAAAATGAGGTCAAGGTCAGATAAATCAAGCCAGATATACATGTACACCTTACAATCATTCCATACACCAAATATAGTTGACTTATTGCTTATAGTATACAAGAAACAGACTTAACCAAGAAAACTAAACATTGACCAATGAACCATGAAAATGAGGTCAAGGTCAGATGAACCATGCCAGGCAGACATGTAAAGCTTGCAATCCTTCCATACAACAAATATAGTTGACCTATTGCTTATAGTATTAGAAAAACAGACCAAAACACAAAAACTTAACACTGAGCAATGAACCGTAAAAATGAGGTCAAGGTCAAATAAAACCTGCAAGACTGACATGTACATCATAAAATATTTCTATACACCAAATATAGTTGACCTATTGCATATAGTATTAGAAAAAATGACCAAAACTCAAAAACTTAACTTTTTTTTTTTTGACCACTGAACCATGAACATGAGGTCAAGGTCAGGAGACACCTGCCAGCAAGACATGTACACCTTACAATAATTCCATACACCAAATATAGTAGACCTGTTGCATACAGTATAAGAAAAACAGACCAAAACACGAACACTTAACTATAACCACTGAACCATGAAATTGCCAGTTGGACATGTACACCTTAAAGTCCTTCCATACACCGAATATGCTAGACCTATTGCTTCTAGTATCTGAGATATGGACTTGACCACCAAAACTTAACCTTGTTCACTGATCCATGAAACCAGGTCGAGGTCAAGTGAAAACTATCTGACCGGCATGAGGACCTTGCAAGGTACGCACACCAAATATAGTTATCTTATTACTTATAATAAGAGAAAAATTAACATTACAAAAAATCTGAACTTTTTTTTCAAGTAGTCACTGAACCATGAAAATGAGGTCAAGGACAATGGACATGTGACAGATGGAAACCTCGTAACATAAGGCATCTATATACAAAGTATGAAGCATCCAGGTCTTCCACCTTCTAAAATATAAAGCTTTTAAGAAGTTAGCTAACGCCGCCGTCGCCGGATCACTATCCCTATGTCGAGCTTTCTGCGACAAAAGTCGCAGGCTCGACAATAAAACCCCATAACTCAGAAATGTAAAAAGTAAAATTTATAAAATTCTAAACGGAGCTTACATCAATAGATATAAACAATTCACCAAAGTTTCATAAGAACTGCTGAAAGCATTTTTGATTTTTTGTTCGAAAACTGGAAAATCCCCCTTTTTAAAATAAAACCCGATAACTCGAAAACGTAAAATCTTAAATTTATAAAAAACGAAAGGGAGCTCACGTCAATAGATATAAACAATTCACCAAAGTTTTATGCAAATTGGTTAAAGTGTTTTTGAGTTAATGTCCGACATGTTGACGACGGACAGATGGACAGACGGATGGATGGACAGACAGACAGAGGTATACCATAATACGTCCCGTAAACGGGCATATAAAAACGCAAAAATAATTGTCCTGTCCCCAAGTACTTAATATGAAAATTATGTGTTATTTTAACAGTCCTAAATGGAAGTCTTGTCTATGACTTAAAAGTCTGTCCGATGACTGAAACAATATCCGGACGTCTTTATTTTCGTTTCCTCCCAAAATAGCCCAAACTGAATAATCATCAGCAAGGATGACAAATGTGACTATGCATGGTACCTATAGGACACAGAGGAATAATGATTAATTTATTGTGGAAGGAAGAGAAGCGACACACAAAATGAGGTCTTCTCATTTAATAGTATAGATTTCAAACATGTTTAACCAATAATGGAGCATCTGAGATCATACTAACAAGACAACATATATCACAGTTTACAGCTTAAAATAAAATGTGGACACAGAGTTATGTCTTGCCTTTATGTATCTTGATAGTAAAATGCAAATGTTGGAGTTAGAAGGGCAAACCGAACAACATTTAACTATAAACATCACAGTTTGCAGCTTATATTAAAAAAACATCAATTTTAATAATTGTATACAATGTAAAGATTAATTTCAACATAATTTAGAAATTTGAAAATTAACTATATACATCACAGTTTGCAGCTAACATCAATTTAAATAATTGTATACAATTTAAAGATTAATTTCAACATAATCTAGAAATTTGAACAAATATTTTGCAAAATAGATAAAAAAATATAATTTGTCCCCCTTTTTTCATTTTTTCATTTTTTACTAATTCATCTAATTTTATGCTCCATTTTCTTCAAATTGATCGTTTTTTTCGTTTCGGTTTAGGTTTAGCATCTTCATCGTCCTCTTTAATTTGTCTCTTCTTTCTATGTGACCTAATTGTACTTAATTCTTCAGGACAAGAATCACTTTCTATATAATGTTCTTTTTCTTCCTTTTTCTCTTCTACTGTTTTTGTCTTTGTTATTTTTTTTTCCTCTATTCTTGACTCTTTATTTTCTTTCAATTTATTTTTCTCTTCTTTCCTTTCATGTGTTTTTTGTGTCTTTTGATCTGGTCACTCCGCCTAAACTCCTTCCCACAAATTTCACATTCATAAATCCTCCCAGTTCCGTGTTGGAATTTAACATGTCTCTTTAGATAATACTCTAAACTAAACTGTAAACCACATTCCTGGCATGTGTATGTTTTATCTTTGGTGTGTGTTTTCCTGTGTACATGGAGTACACAAGAATGAGCAAACGTTTTATTACAAATCTCACACTTATATGGGCGAGCCCCAGTGTGTATGACCTTGTGATTTTGAAGGGAACGTTGATTAACAAACATTTTATGACAAACATCGCATTCTTCTCTTCCTTCACCCGTATGTATATTTTCATGATAATTTAAATAACTTTCCGTTACAAATTTTTTCCCACAGACCTGACACTCAAAATCCTTGGCACTTTCATCATGGCTTTTAGCATGTGTTTTTATATAATCTTTTCGATAATATTTTTTACATATATCACACTCAACCAGTTCCGATTTCTGTTTCTTTCTTGTTGTCGATCCATTACTTTTGTCGAGCAGAGAGAGATTGTGTTTTGCATTGATATGAACCTTGAGGTATCTGTTCTGTGTATACACCTTATGACAGAAATGACATTGGAATGTCCCCGGGGCATGCGATCTTTCATGCACTTTTACCGATTTCTCTGTTTTATAACTTTGACCACAAATCTTACAAGAGAAAGGCCTGTCCTTATTGTGGGACTGAATGTGATTTTTTAAATGATCTTTTCTGATGAATCCTTTACCACAAATATCACAGCTGTAGTTTGTCTCACCATTGTGTTTCTGTAGATGGATATCCAGCTTATATTTCTGCATAAATGTTACGCCACAGATGTGACAGACATGCGGACGGTCACCTAAAATTAGAAAATACACCTATATATGTATGCCTGAAAGATGTGACAGACATGTGGACGTTCACCTAAAGTTAGATTGATTGATTGATTGTTGGTTGCTTAACGTCCAGTGGCAAATATTTCATGCATATTCAGGACGAGAACAAGTTCACAATAAATACAATAGGTAGGTTCTGTAATAGATTAAGGGATTAAGGTCGGAGAAATTTAGACTGCCACGGGAAATGAGGGTATATTGGATAGGGACAGAAATTTAGCCTTGCAACAGGTCACATACGGACCCCTCAAAGAGTTGTTGCAAGGGTTCTTAACGTGCAAAGAGCGTGGCACTCTCTTTACACGAGGCATCGGATTTAACGTCCCCATTCTGACCGGACGTGGCTGCAAATTTGTACATCCCGCACAGCCAAACGGACGCCCCACTTTAGCACGGGTTTTACTGCCGGTCGGAGGAAGACCAATGATGACCATACTTCTATTCCCCAGTCACCCTTGGGGGACCTAAAGTTAGAAAATACAAATATATATGTATGTCTGTGTACACAGATGTGACAAACATGTGGACGGGCACCTTAAATTAGAAAATACACACATATATATATATATATATATGAGGGTCGTAATGGACCTTCATGACGAATAACGGTAAAAATTCTTGCCAAATGACAAACACGCTAATTTTTGGTGCATGACGATAAAATGTACACTTTCTTACCCCCAAACTCAAACCCAGCTTTCCTCTTGTGATATGGAACCTTGTAGTACAATTTCATAAAGATCCATACACTTACACACAAGTTATTGTCCAGAAACTAGAAAAATGCTTGTTTTTTTCCCCTTTTAAGCCCCTAATTCCTAAAATTTTGAGGCAATTACCCCCAAAATCAATCCCAGTCTTTGCTTTGTAGTATGGTACCTTGCAGTACAATTTCAGAGAGATCCATAGACTTGAACACAAGTAATTGTCTGGAAACTAGAAAAATGCTATTTTTGGCCCCTTTTTGGCCCTATTCCTAAACGTTTTAGGCAATTACCCCCAAACTCAATTCCAGCTTTCCCTTTGTGATATGGAACCTTGTAGTTCAATTTCAGAAAGCTCCATACACTTACACACAAGTTATTATCATGAAACTAGAAAAATGCTTGTTTTTTGCCCCTTTTTTTGCCCCTAATTCCTACAATTTTGAGGCAATTACCTCCAACATCAATCCCAACCTTCCTTTTGTGGTATTGGACCTTATGGTAAAATTTCATGGAGATCCATTCACTTAAACTAAAGTTAGAGTGCAAAAACCAATGTGTCTTCGGACGACGACGACGACGCCAACGTCATACCAATATACGACCAAAACATTTTTAATTTTTGCGGTCGTATAAAAATAGACTGGTCTTGACGAATCACGCTCAATTTTTTCTAAAAATAACGGTAACGATAATTATTTGAGACCTCTGACGAATCACGATAAGGATATTTTGACAAATCACGGTAATATTTTAACCAATTTGATGCTAACGGTAGCCAAAAATCACTGTTTGACGCCTGACGGTAAAGGGCATTACTACCATCATATATGTATGTATGCCTGTACATGTGTACACAGATGTGAGAGACATGTGGAGGTTCACCTAAAATTGAAAATACTCATATATAAATGTATGCACCCATTGGTGGCCTTCGGCTGTTGTCTGCTCTATGGTCGGGTTGTTGTCTCTTTGACACATTCCCCATTTCCATTCTCAATTTTATTGTGTGCATAGATGTAACAGGTTGTATGAACTCATCTTGATCTCTTCTCCTTTAATGCTAACTTAGGGATTACTACTTTCTTTTATAGCTGTAATTCTATGATTATTAATCGTAAAACTTGGAATTTGACTAATATCTATAAATTGTACAGGTTGCATTTATTGCTTTTAAAACCTGACGTCTGTTTTCAATACATCATTACATTTAACTAATGATTGAAAATACATGAGCTGCGTCTGATATAAATCGACCTTATGCAAATGAATGTCAATACATCTGTTAACTTATTTCAGGTAAAAAAAATTCTATGCAAAGTCTATAACTGTTTAAAAATTGAGTTGATATAAGAACCCTACAAAACCGACACAAATTCATCCTTTGTTTCGTATTTGAATGTTTTAAAATCAATCAAAGTCTTACACATGTACATGTATACGTGCACTTGCATAAGGTCAATTTCTATCCGACGAGGCTCACATTATAAATTGATCAGTTTAAACATTTCCATGTGTCTAAGATGGTCCTTAATACAGGTCTATTAATACAGATCTAGAATAACAGGTTAATACAGGTCTATTAATACAGATCTAAAATAACAGGTTAATACAAGTCTATTAATACAGATCTAGAATAACAGGTTAATACAAGTCTATTACTACAGATCTAGAATAACAGGTTAATACACGTCTATTAATACAGATCTGAAATAACAGGTTAATACAAGTCTATTAATACAGATCTGAAATAACAGGTAAATACAAGTCTATTAATACAGATCTAGAATAACAGGTTAATACAAGTCTATTAATACAGATCTAGAATAACAGGTTAATACAAGTCTATTAATACAGATCTAAAATAACAGGTTAATACAAGTCTATTACTACAGATCTAAAATAACAGGTTAATACAAGTCTATTAATACAGATCTAAAATAACAGGTTACTGTGGATTCATTTATTTTCGTGGGTACCAATTTTTGTGGATTGAGGAAAACTTGCATTTTCGTGGATATTTAATTTCGTGGTTTTGCAAAAGTCTGCATACATTCCTATAGAAAATTAGTTAATTCGTTGAACGTTTAAATTCGTGGTTCCCCTGTGACCATGAAATGCACGAACATTGGTATCCAACGAATAATAATGAATCCACAGTAATACAAGTCTATTACTACAGATCTAAAATAACAGGTTAATACAAGTCTATTAATACAGATCTAAAATAACAGGTTAATACAAGTCTATTACTACAGATCTAAAATAACAGGTTAATACAAGTCTATTAATACAGATCTAAAATAACAGGTTAATACAAGTCTATTACTACAGATCTAAAATAACAGGTTAAAACACGTCTATTACTACAGATCTAGATCTAGAATAACAGGTTAATACAAGTCTATTAATACAGATCTAAAATAACAGGTTAATACACGTCTATTACTACAGATCTAGATCTAGAATAACAGGTTAATACAAGTCTATTAATACAGATCTAAAATAACAGGTTAATACAAGTCTATTACTACAGATCTAGATCTAGAATAACAGGTTAATACAAGTCTATTAATACAGATCTAAAATAACAGGTTAATACACATCTATTACTACAGATCTAGATCTAGAATAACAGGTTAATACAAGTCTATTAATACAGATCTAAAATAACAGGTTAATACAAGTCTATTACTACAGATCTAGAATAACAGGTTAATACAAGTCTATTACTACAGATCTAAAATAACAGGTTAATACAAGTCTATTACTACAGATCTAGATCTAGAATAACAGGTTAATACACGTCTACTAATACAGAAGACGTGACACATTAATACAGAAGATGTGACACATTATTACAGAAGATGTGACACATGTGGATGTTCACCTAAAATTAGAAAATACACACATATATATGTATTTATGCCTGTACATGTGTACACAGTTGTGACAGACATGTGGATAACTGGTTAATACAGAATTTTTACTGGTTTCAATACAGGATTTGAACTTCTGGTTTTCGGTTTAAAAAAGGTGACTTTGGTTCAATAAAGGTGTCAGAAAGTGGATGTGTGTATTACCCAAAATATTAGATTTCAACAAGTTTGATGTAAGAGCAATTGTTATTTTTCATGTTGTATCATTTTATTCTTTGAATATATACAATTATGGACAGTGGACAGATTATATATCCAAGAATACGCCTCAATTCAACACAGCTAACCTTGACCCAATACAGCTAACCTTGACCCAATACAGCTAACCTTGAACCAAAACAGCAAACCTTAAAGCTAATCTCGACCCAATACAGCTAACCTTAACACAATATAGCTAACCTTGACCCAATATGACTGTACTTGAACATAATACAGGATTAATTTGAAAACATCCATTTAATTATGCTGTATTAGGCCAAGTAAATTTAATTAGTAGATTTTCATCCAAATTTTTGAAAAAAATGGGGTGGGTGGGAGGATGTTATTTTTTATTTTTTATTAGATATGAAACGCTCTTGTGACGTGTTCTTCATATATGCAAGTGTAATAATAAGGTTCTATCATGTATATACATGTATAACGAATCAAACATACAAAGAAATGCAAAAACCAAAATTTGAAACAGGATGTTATTAATGAAACGAAATTATCGACAGTTACCGGTAACGAAAATGAACAAAATCCGGAAATCGTAAATTTTTCAAAATAAAAAAAATTGGGGCGGAACGATTTCAGAGGGGCGGGCGGGGATGAAAATCTATCAATTAATTTTAATTGGCCTTACTGATAGCCACATGCATGACATAAACCATCAGAATTAAAAAAAAAATTGGTTCATATGCATGATTTGCTTTCTTAGAGATACAACTACTTGATTTTTTAAATGTTGGCGGAATATTTATAATGATACATGCATCTCTAAATGTTTCTACATTTGTTATATGAAGCTAATTTCTAATTCTCAAATCTCAAATACAAATACAAACCCTACCTGTATGAACTTTCTCGTGTTCTGCCAGACTACACTTTGTAACAAAGTCCTTGGGGCATTCTCCACACTTATATGGTCTATCGCCAGTGTGAATTCTGACGTGGTTCTGTACACATAATAGATAGTCGAACGTCTTCTTGCACACAGTACACTTATACAGTCTGTACACCTTCCTTGGCTTTTTCCCGACATATTTATTTAAATGTGATATTTTTTCGTATGTGTAAAGGTTAGACTCAGCATCAGTTGGTTCTGATTTAATTTCTTTTTCTTCCTCCAGTTCTTGGCCATTCTGAGCATCTCTGCCATTATCAGTGTCTCCATCTATATCTTGTCCATTTCTGACTTTATCCCTACTAAGAATCAGTTCTGAAGTACCAGATCGTTCTATGTAGTCTACAATTTCCTTTTTTATTTCATCTGGATCAATTAAAGCATCAGGTGACATTTCGGCAGTTTTTGAATTTTGTTGACTCTGTGTAAATGGTTTATTGATGACCTCTTTTGCTGATGTCTCTGTAAAACTTTGTAAAGTGTTCTGATTTCTTGGTTGGTACGACGTATTTGTCAAGATCGTTAAAGTGTTTACATTTGTAGTTTGATTTGATGTATTTGTCAAGCATATGGTTGCATGATTTGATCTAGAATATGCATTCGTTGTAGTCCTAGAATTTTTTAAACTATCTTTGTTTAAAGCATTTAACATTTTTTCACTAAAACTAGACTTTATATTGGTATCTAGCATTGGTGTCTGAATAACTGGCCCTGTTACCATGGTACCTGATTCTGTTTCTATAGTGAATTGTCCTTTTACTATAGACACTAGTTCTGTTGCCATGGCAACTGGTTCTCTTTTTAAAGTAAATGGCTCTGTTTTTGCAGTATCTCCTTCTGTTTCCATGGTGTCTTGTTCTGTAACTTCTGTTTTCAGGGTATCTATTACAGTTACCAATGAATTCAAATTCAAATCTAAGAGATCTGGGTCATTTTCATGTTTGACTTCCAAGTCATAGATTTTCTCTGCCTCATTCAGCAGCATTTTACAAGTTTTAAGGATTTGTTCCTAGAAATATATAGAAAAAAAAACATTATCAGTGTAATCTTTATATCATGGATTCTTTGCAATATAAAACAATATCAGTGTATTCTTTATATCACCGCTATTCTTTGCAATATAAAACATTATCAGTGTTTTTTTTTCTATAAAGGCTCCTTGAAAAAGTTATACAACTATTGACTTTTTCCACTTCTTCCAGGCAAAACAAATACCATAAGTTGAAAAAAAACTAGACATCACTATTGCCAAAAACAAAGATATACAACAGTTTGCAATACACTTTACTGAAAACTAAATGATGAGTATTAGACATGAACCTTACCGATAACAAGGGGTGAACACAGTGTTCTGAACATGCTGAAAGTGTATGACATGAACCGAACCCATAACTAGGGGATAAACACAGTATTCTCGACATTCTGAAAGTGTATGACATGAACCTAACCAATAACCAGGGGTGAACACAGTGTTCTAGACATGCTGAAAGTGTATGAAATGAACCTAACCAATAACCAGGGGGTGATTACAGTGTTCTAGACATGCTGAAGGTGTATGACATGAACCTAACCAATAACCAGTGGGTGAATACAGTGTTCTAGACATGCTGAAAGTGTATGACATGAACCTAACCAATAACCAGTGGGTGAATACAGTGTTCTAGACATGCTGAAAGTGTATGAAATGAACCTAACCAATAACCAGGGGGTGATTACAGTGTTCTAGACATGCTGAAGGTGTATGACATGAACCTAACCAATAACCAGTGGGTGAATACAGTGTTCTAGACATGCTGAAAGTGTATGACATGAACCTAACCCATAACTACATTTTAACTTGGGGATAAACACAGTATTCTCGACATTCTGAAAGTGTATGACATGAACCTAACCAATAACCAGGGGGTGAACACAGTGTTCTAGACATGCTGAAAGTGTATGAAATGAACCTAACCAATAACCAGGGGGTGATTACAGTGTTCTAGACATGCTGACAGTGTATGACATGAACCTAACCAATAACCAGGGGGTGAATACAGTGTTCTAGACATGTTGAAAGTGTATGACATGAACCTAACCAATAACTAGGGGATAAACACAGTATTCTCGACATGCTGAAAGTGTTTGACATGAACCTAACCCATAACTAGGGGATAAACACAGTGTTCTGGACATGCTGAAAGTGTATGACATGAACCTAACAAATAACCAGGGGGTGAACACAGTGTTCTAGACATGCTGAAAGTGTATGACATGAACCATACCAATAACCAGGGGTAAACTGTGACCACAGTATCCTGGACATGCTGAAAGTGTATGACATAAACCATACCAATAACCAGGGGGTAAACACAGTGTTCTGGACATGCTGAAAGTGTATGACATGAACCTAACCAATAACCAGCGGGTGAACACAGTGTTCTAGACATGCTGAAAGTGTATGACATGAACCTAACCAATTACTAGGGGATAACACAGTGTTCTGGACATGCTGAAAGTGTATGAAATGAACCTAACCAATAACCAGGGGATGATTACAGTGTTCTGGACATGCTGAAAGTGTATGACATGAACCTAACCAATAACCAGAGGGTGAACACAGTGTTCTGGACATGCTGAAAATGTATGACATGAACCTAACCAATAACCAGTGGGTGAACACAGCGTTCTTGACATGCTGAAAGTGTATGACATGAACCTAACCCATAACTAGGGGATAAACACAGTGTTCTGGACATGCTGAAAGTGTATGACATGAACCTAACCAATAACCAGGGGGTGAACACAGTGTTCTAGACATGCTGAAAGTGTATGACATGAACCATACCAATAACCAGGGGTAAACTGTGACCACAGTATCCTGGACATGCTGAAAGTGTATGACATAAACCATACCAATAACCAGGGGGTAAACACAGTGTTCTGGACATGCTGAAAGTGTATGACATGAACCTAACCAATAACCAGCGGGTGAACACAGTGTTCTAGACATGCTGAAAGTGTATGACATGAACCTAACCAATTACTAGGGGATAACACAGTGTTCTGGACATGCTGAAAGTGTATGACATGAACCTAACCCATAACTAGGGGATAAACACAGTATTCTGGACATTCTGAAAGTGTATGAAATGAACCTAACCAATAACCAGGGGATGATTACAGTGTTCTGGACATGCTGAAAGTGTATGACATGAACCTAACCAATAACCAGAGGGTGAACACAGTGTTCTGGACATGCTGAAAATGTATGACATGAACCTAACCAATAACCAGTGGGTGAACACAGCGTTCTTGACATGCTGAAAGTGTATGACATGAACCTAACCCATAACTAGGGGATAAACACAGTGTTCTGGACATGCTGAAAGTGTATGACATGAACCTAACCAATAACCAGGGGGTGAACACAGTGTTCTAGACATGCTGAAAGTGTATGACATGAACCATACCAATAACCAGGGGTAAACTGTGACCACAGTATCCTGGACATGCTGAAAGTGTATGACATGAACCATACCAATAACCAGGGGGTAAACACAGTGTTCTGGACATGCTAAAAGTGTATGAAATGAACCTTACCAATAACCAGTGGGTGAACACAGTGTTCTGGACATGCTGAAAGTGTATGACATGAACCTAACCAATAACCAGGTGTAAACTGTGAACACAGTATCCTGGACATGCTGAAAGTGTATGACATGAACCTAACCAATAACCAGGGGTAAACACAGTATCCTGGACATGCTGAATGTGTATGACAAGAACCTAACCAATAACCAAGGGGTAAACACAGTATCCTGGACATGCTGAATGTGTATGACAAGAATCTAACCAATAACCAGGGGGTAAACACAGTATCCTGGAAATGCTGAATGTGTATGACATGAACCTAACCAATAACCAGGGGGTGAACACAGTATCCTGGACATGCTGAAAGTGTATGACATGAACCTAACCAATAACCAGGGGTAAACTGTGACCACAGTATCCTGGACATGCTGAAAGTGTATGGCATGAACCTTACCAATAACCAGGGGTAAACACAGTATCCTGGACATGCTGAATGTGTATGACAAGAACCTAACCAATAACCAAGGGGTAAACACAGTATCCTGGACATGCTGAATGTGTATGACAAGAATCTAACCAATAACCAGGGGGTAAACACAGTATCCTGGACATGCTGAATGTGTATGACAAGAACCTAACCAATAACCAGGGGGTAAACACAGTATCCTGGACATGCTGAATGTGTATGACAAGAACCTAACCAATAACCAGGGGGTAAACACAGTATCCTGGACATTCTGAATGTGTATCACATGAACCTAACCAATAACCAGGGGGTAAACACAGTGTTCTGGACATGAGGAAAGTGTATGACATGAACCTAACCAATAACCAGGGGGTGCACACAGTGTTCTAGACATGCTGAAAGTGTATGACATGAACCTAACCAATTAATAGGGGATAAACACAGTGTTCTGGACATGCTGAAAGTGTATGACATGAACCTAACCCATAACTAGGGGATGATAACAGTGTTCTAGACATGCTGAAAGTGTATGACATGAACCTAACCAATAACCAGGGGTAAACACAGTATCCTGGACATGCTGAATGTGTATGACATGAACCTAACCAATAAGCAGGGGGTAAACACAGTATCCTGGACATGCTGAAAGTGTATTACATGAACCTTACCAATATCCAGAGGAGAACACAGTGTTCTGGACATGTTGAAAGTGTATGACATGAACCTTACCAATAACCAGGGGAGAACACAGTGATCTGGACATGCTGAAAGTGTATGACATGAACCTAACCAATAACCAGGGGTTGAACACAGACTTATTTTCCTGACCAAATGTAACATCAAAATGATATGCTTTGCTTCATGGTATAATAATTTGATCAAAAAAATTTCTTACTGTAACCAACATCAAGAACACATTAATTTTTGAATATGGTTTAAATACAACTAATGTTCTCCAGCTGAGCCTAGCAATATTCAAGGTAATTTAGACACTGTCCAACATTGCCCTTAAAATCTGGGTTATAATGCTAAAGTGCCCTTTTAGACAACTAGCACCCTTCTGCCCTGAGATTCAAGGTGGAACACTGTCAGTGTTCTAGACATGCTGAAAGTGTATGACATGAACCTAACCAATAACCAGGACACAGTGTTCTGGACAAGTCACCCCTGTTCAAATGAAGTGGATGTTAGCAATTATAGGCATCCATATAGCCTTCAACAATGAGAACAACCCACACCATATATAATTGTGGGCTATTAAAGACTCTGATATGAAAAAAAAGAAACAATTCATTAAAGAAAACTAATGGCTTAATTCATAACAAACAATGACAAAACATTTTACGAAATGCAAATATGACAGACATAAACCAACGACAACCACTGAAAGTTGAATACAGGCTGCTAACTTTGGACAGGCACATTAATAATGTGGCAGGATTAAATATGTTTGAAGGTGCCAACCCTCCCCTAACCTGGTACAATGGTAACAGTAAAACATAAGAGCAAACTATGAAAATTAGTTGAAAATGCTTATTTTTTTCCACGGCTTAGCTGTGTGAAAGTCAAAATGAAAATAACATTTTATAAAAATATTTCCATCTGGAATACTTATATAATCTGATAACATCAAGCTCTTAATGAGTCTAAAAAGGTTGTGAATAAATCTAACAGAAAACTGTCAATGTCTGCTTGTAAGGCTACCTGAACTTTATATGTAGATCTATCAGCTCTAATGTCCATCCCTTCTGTCAAAACTGTTCTTCTGTTGACCTAAAATACAAACAATTAATGAGTTATAATAACAAAAAGTGTTGTGCCTCCAGGCCTACATATATAATTTTGATACTAAAAGAGAGACAAAAGATACCAAAGGGACATCAAACTCACAAGTCAAAAGATATCAAAGGGGCATCAAACTCACAAGTCAAAAGATATCAAAGGGACATCAAACTCATAAGTCAAAAGATACCAAAGTGACATCAAACTCATAAGTCAAAAGATATCAAAGGGACATCAAACTCACAAGTCAAAAGATACCAAAGGGACATCAAACTCACAAGTCAAAAGATACCAAAGGGACATCAAACTCATAAGTCAAAAATAAACTGACAACACCAATGCAAATATTGAAATTAAAATAGTTATACCAATACTTTAACATGTTTGTCGTGTAAAATATGTAAACTATTCAAAGTCAAAGAAACAAGTCTGAAGGTAAAGGGCCAAATAACAGGAATAATTTCCCTGAAAATAAGACTGAAGGTACAGGGCCAAATAACAGGAATAATTAATTTCCATGGAAATAAGATATGTCAATGCTATAAGTACAACTGCATACCAAATATTATAGACCTATCATAGTTTGTCGACATCGATAATAAAGCTGGATGTATGGTATCTCAACTCATTAACATTTTGTATGCCATGTATGTTATAAGTGTTAGTCCAAATATTAATATAATATGTTATGACGTCTTGAAAGGCTATTTTATTATGTTGGTGTAACGACTTCCTGTTGTAGGAAGGCGTCAAAGCAAAAAATAAAATAGCCTTTCAAGACATCATAATCATTTGGACTAATACAGTGTGTGTTTCAGTTACCATGGATACTGATTATTTTTAATTATTTTTTTAGATTGTCATTGTAAAATGTATGAATAATTGATGACTTGATTTATAAGATTCAAATAATTGTTCTATTGTTTTTATTTTGCAAAATGAAGTCCTGCTAGTTTCAATTTATAGCTATCATTTATACGGACTTTGTTCTCTTTCAGGTTCATATCATGAATATAGAATGACATGACAAACACCGAAGAAAAAAGAAAAGGAAATGACTATTGTCCGGTTGTTTTATTGGAACATTTACCATATACATATACTATACAGTTTAGATGTTTTGCCTTATACATGTTATAATTTTTTCATGTTTCTTCTTATCATATGTTCGAAAAGACAATACAGCCTCAATCACAGCCGCTTACAACAATGAAAACCAAATAATAAACGGAAGGAAGACAATTCGCCCCACAGTCAAATCGCCCCACTTTTTCACCAACTCGCCCAACTTTTTAAAAAATCGCCCAACTTTCCCCAAAAATCGCACCACCCTGGTTTACCAATTCGCCACTTATGACAAAGGGTAATATCCCGCTGTATAGGTCTTTCAAATCACCCCACGGGGTTAAAATCCGATAATATATAATAAAGGTCTGCTACTTGTGAAAACTTATCTACACAGAATAAAGAAAAATCACTTGTGATACTAAAAAAATCGAATATTTATTATGATTGAAACAACTATATATATCCTTGATTGAAATACAATTATGCTTCATTTCTTAAAATAAAATTGTAGATACGTTATATATCATTATTTTATTTTAGTATTTATTGGAGAATAACTTCGACTATCAATCTAGTGTAGATACATCTATTTTTCCACAGAATGCCTAACTGTCAGATGTTCTGACAGACCGTAAACAACAAATATGACTACCACCGTACTCACGTACACCGTATTGGTAATACTCTTACATGGGTCTCTGATCAGAAACTCTACGACAGAGGATAAACAATGGAAACAATACACCATAATCAATAGTCCAATATGTTCACCAAATAAAGATTGCATCACAAATAGAATAACCACCATTCAAGGTGCTATTACTCCTTTTCGGACAAAGCACATTAGAGCATCAACATTAGCATATTTTTCCATGATTCTCATCACTATATCTAACGATGTGAATATGAACCCTGGACCATCTCAATCTGAATCAAACTATTCGTGTGTTACCTGTGGTAAACCTGTCAACTAGGATGATATAGGTTTTGTATGTGATACTTGTAATTAATGGTATCATGTCAGTTGCCAGTCAATGTCACCCAGTCTATACCTTGAACATGTCAATGACTCTGCAGTTGCATGGGATTGCATCGCATGTAACTGTCCAAAATATTCAACATTCTGTGACTCCATGGTCTTCAGCACCTCAAACCACTTTAGCATCCTGTCTGAGTCGCCACTTGAAAGCCCAAAACCAACAAACCAGATGCAACCCATCCATGCAACCACATCAACAAAATCATCATACAAGACGACTAAATCCAAACAACATTTGAAAATTCTAAATGTAAATTTCCAATCAATCAAAACAAAGCAACCTGAACTGGAGAATCTTATTGAAAGCACAAACCCAGATATCATCTTTGGTACAGAGACCTGGATTGACCATAGCATCAAAGATTCTCAGATCTTTCCAAAAGGGTATAACATATTTAGAAACGACAGAAACCTATCAGGAGGAGGTGTCCTCATAGCAGTAAAGAACATAATTATATATAACTACATCTGTTCCAGAATTGCAAACTGACTGCGAAATTGTATGGTGCAAATTGGAGCTAGTTTGATACAGAGCTATCTACCTATCCTCCTACTACAACCCTAGGACATAAAATGAAGAAAGTATAAATCAGTTTGCTAGAAGTATAGAAAGAGCATCAAGAATAAACAATGTCTTGATATTATCTGCTGGAGATTTCAACCTACCAGGATGGGATTGGAAGAAAAATACTCTAAAACCTACTACCCATTATCCTACCATACATCATAAATTTACAGACATACTAGATTATTATGGTTTCACTCAACTAGTCGAGGAACCAACAAGAGGCAGTAACATCCTAGATCTTATAGTTACAAACCATCCATCCAGTTTCCGTAGAACTGAGATCATACCTGGTATATCAGATCACGACATAGTGTATTCTGAAATCAATATAACACCAACTAGACATCAGCAAAAATCTCGCCAGATACCATTATACATTAAAGCAAAATTGGAGAATGTAAGGAATGACATCAAAAACATCTATCATTCATTACTAGATATAACAAGGGAAGATAAGTCAGTAGAGAACATGTGGAATATATTCCAGAAAAAGTTAGAGGAAAGCATAAAAAATAACATACCTCACAAAACAGCAAAGAATAAAGATGGATGTCCATGGCTCAATAGAGACCTGAAACAACTTATTAGAAAACGGGACAGATGGTATAAACGGAAAAAGAAATCTGGTAACCATAACGATGCAGCAAAATACAAAACACTAAAACAAGATACACAACGAGAACTTACTGTGGTTACTGGAAATACATAAAGGGCATAGTTACACCACAACAGGATGACCACAGTGGCAATAGAAACTGCATGAAGCGTTTTTGGACTTACTTTAAACACAAACGATCTGAAAATAACAGCATCCCTCCCCTTAAATCAGAGGGAATCCTTCATACAGAATCAAAGGACAAGGCAAACATTTTAAATTACCGATTTCAAAAAGCTTTTTAATCAAGAGAAGATGTAATAGAAAAAGAATTTAAAGACAAGTGCAAGATGACAGGATTTTTCCCAACTATGCCTGAAATAAATATCACAGAAAATGGAGTCACCAAACTACTGAACAACTTAAATGTACACAAAGCTGCGGGACCAGACAATATTACACCTAGAATTTTGAAAGAACTGTCTGCTGAGATATCACTCTTCCTAACTTTTATATTTAAAGAGTCGTACAATACTGGGGAAGTACCACACATATGGAGATCAGCAAATGTATGTCCCATCTTTAAAAAGGTCAGAAATTTGAAGCAGTGAATTATAGACCATTGTCACTGACTTGCATTGCCTGCAAATTAATGGAACACATTGTCACTAGCAACATCATGACTCATGCTGACTAACATAAGATCTTAAATCCCTTACAACATGGTTTCCGTAAAGGACTGTCCTGCGACACCCAGATAGTTGAATTCATAGATGACGTCTCCAAAAACCTTGATCTAGGTCAACAAACATATTGTCTAATTATGGATTTCAGCAAAGCATTCGACAAAGTGTCTCACAGCCTATTAACACACAAACTTGACCATTATGGTATAAAAGGGACACCAACATTTGGATCCAAAATTTCCTTAGAGACCGGAAACAAGCTGTAGTTGTAGAAGGAGAATCATCAGGATATCATACATTGATGTAGAATCTGGGGTGCCACACAGATCAGTATTAGGCCCCATCTTGTTCCTATACTATATCAACGACATGCCAGAAAACATCAAATCGACTGTAAGATTATTTGCAGATGACACCATTGCATATCTTACTATAACATCAGATGTCGATAGACTCCACCTTCAAGACGACCTTGACAAACTGGCATTATGGGAACAAACCTGGAAAATGAGTTTCCATCCTGAAAAATGTAATGTGCTAACCATCAAAAGAAAGAGAGAACCAACCATAAACCAGTATGTACTCCATGGCCATGAACTACAACATGTGACAGTAGCCACATATCTAGGTGTTTCTATAACATCAGATATGAAGTGGAGTGGACACATTACAACCATCTGCAAGAAAGCGAACAACACAAGGAGCTTCCTGAAAAGAAACCTGAACATAAGAAATCCAACATTAAAAGAAAGAGCATATAAAGCACTAGTTCGACCGATTGTGGAATATGCCTGTACAACTTGGGATCCCTACCTGAAAGAGGATATTCATCGGATTGAGATGGTTCAGCGAAGGGCTGCCAGATACGTCGAAAACAGATATCACAACATCTCATCTGTCACAGACATGCTAGGAGAAAATTAGAATAGGCATCACTTGAAGAACGAAGAAAAAAAATCGAGATTAGTACAGTTGCTCGGAGGCTAAGAGTCTTCAATCATTCAAGACTCAATTAACTGATTAATTGAAATCAGCTTGTTTTTACTAGCACATTTAAAAAAAAAAATTTGTACAGCACCGTTTGTTTGTTTTTTGTGAATATTTAATCTTATAAATTCCTTGTAGATTAGCGTATCCGCATACCGTAGTTTGACGAAAACTGGCAGAACAATCAGAAATGATGGCGGCCACCAAACGGCAGAACTTTATTACTATTATAAAAAACCCATGATTCTGACTTATCTAATAAAACAGTGATTACATTTATCAGAACACAAACGTCATAAACAGTTACAAAAGTCAATAACATCTTAAAAAATACTGATACTTACTTCTTTCTCCTTTATTCTAACCAAAAGAAAAGAGTTAAAAAACAAGATGCATTTCTAAGGTTTTCGATCATCAGTATTCGTTGAATTCATTGGTGGACGAGTTGGTATGCCAACATTCAGTACAGTTTAATTCTGTTATTCATTAGTAGGGCCAGTTGGCAGATTTTATTCAATGGGATTATACTCATTTTCATAAGTGGGACGGGTTCGTAGTCATTAATGCAGTAATGTTATCACTGGTGTTAAACTGATAATCGTATCTGGAATTACGACGATCACGATATGGCGACGGCAGAAATAGGTAAACATGGTAAAATCTTTTCAGTAATTTTTCTCACATGTAGCCCGTTGTTGTCAAGAGTTACTCAGCTGCAAGGTTTTTCTATACCATTACATCATATTTGAATCGTAACGGTGCACTATAATTGTCTAAGCGATTAGAAAATTGCCATCGAAAAATTTAGGATGATAATCGTAACTCGCAAAAATGATAATCGTAATTTCGGTATTAATAAATAAGAAGATAATCGTAACTGGATAGTGTTTGATTGGTATTGACACGAAAAACGTCTATCTAATAGCATATGATGAAAATATGGTGATGAATTAATCAGGAAAACATTCCCACATCTTATGACATTTCTTTTTGTGCATATATATGATTAACAGTTCTAATGTAAACAGCTACATACTTGTATATATCATAAAATTGGAAGGAAGGGGGACCAGCTTCAATAAATTTGTAAATGGGTAAACACGAACTATGTTAAAATACTGAAAACTCCAGGAACTAGGACCGTCACTAAATATGGGAGAAAATTTTAAAAAATGTCATTATGATCTCTTCATGTTTAGAGTTAAAAAGAAATATTGTTTGGCATTCTATTTACATACCGACTTGAAAACAAATGTCACACCTTTTTGAATGTGTAAAAAGTTGTATAGCCCATAAATACTATAAAAATGCTTAGCTATTTCATGACCGCCACTGACATTTCGATATCTCAGAAAATAACTATAAATTTTAACAACACCAATTTGGTTTGGCATTCTAATAATATGACATCCTTAAAACGTTTAATAATAATATAAGAGTAGAGAAAAGTTGGAATGCTTTGTGTGTTATAGAGTTAAGCACGTGGAGTTCATTGGCAAACATGGATTTGTGTTCTTTAATAGTTTGGCCAAAGCCCGAAGATCAAGAAATCAAATTGATGTGGCCTTAAATTACCTTACAAGCTATATTTATTCAAAGAATGACTGCAACTTTAAGAAATCATAGCGCATATTCCGCCATATCTGAAACATACTGATGTATATCATAAATACTTGGTATATGAAAAATATGCTGCATACATATGCATGGAAGTTATTGTAGAGAAAAAATATTGAAAGTAAAGAAGATTTTTGTACTTGCATAATTACCAAATACTAAGTACTTGTCTATCAAATGAAAACAAAAATTAGCCTTTTATAATTGTCATGCATTTTTCTGAAGCACAAAATATGTTTTTGATTATCTATTGATTATATATAATATATATTTGTGTTTTTTTTTTACAGTCCTTCAAATGCTTCGCAAAACTGTACGCGCCATTTAGTTAAGGCTAGTAAAAACAATAAACACAAGTAACAATAAACACAAGTAACAATAAACACATGGAACAATAAACACAAGGAACAATAAACACAAGTAACAATAAACACATGTTACAATAAACACAAGTAACAATAAATACAAGGAACAATAAACACAAGGAACAATAAACACAAGGAACAATAAACAATAGTAACAATAAACTGGTAACTATTCTAGATCCTTTACCATCCACCCTGTTTAAAGACACGTCCTAAAATACATGGGTATTTAATCAAAATATTTGAATTTAATTTTTAAAATCATATAAGATATCAGTGTAAAACAGAACAAAAGTGAATTCACTGAAAAATATGAACGGCTATTTTAACGGGGATACATTTCACTCCAAAATTAAACTATATGTATTTCTATTGAAATATAAGGAAAAGGGCAAAATGAAAACTCATATCCACCAATCAAAGTATCAACTGTTAAATCCAATAATGCAGTTAAGTAACTGATGGAAAACTTGTCATCGGTACACCAAGAAAGGGAAGGGTTGGACCTAGAATTAAAAATAATAAGGGAAAAAAATGTCAAAGGAATAATTACATGAGCAAAGACAAGATGGCAAGAAGAGGGGGAAAAGGGAAGTAACTATTTTTGTAATTTGGAAAAAAAACATTACACAGAAAAAATTATTCCCAAACTTATTCTGGAGGACGAATCTGAGATAACAGATCCATGTATTATTAGAAATGAACAAAACAATTTTATAAAAAATTGTATACTAGTTCTAACCCATTGTTACTTGAAACTCACAGGAACACATTTCTTCAGCATGACAATCCTTTTATTACAAAACCTAATGAGGAAGAGGTTGGTTCCTGTGAGGGACCTTAATCAGTGCAGGAATGTCTGTTTTCTCTTAAACAAATGAAGAACTCTAAACCACCTGGTATAGATGGATTCACTGTTGAGTTTTATAAATTCTTTTGGAATGATATTAAAATACCACTGGTAAGATGTTTAAATGAGGCTTTAGAATATGGAAAGTTCTCTATCACTCAAAGACAGGGACTCATTACCTGTATACCAAAGGAGGGTAAGTCAAAATGTTATCTAAAGAACTGGCGACCTATCACACTACTGTGTGTAGACTATAAGATAGCTACAGCAAGTCTAGCAAATAGATTTAAAAAGGTCTTGGTAAACATAATAAGTCAAACAAAAAAAGATTTTCTTAAAGGTAGGTATATAGGCGAATGTACAAGATTTATTTATGATCTGATGGAAAAGATGGAAGAAGACGACATTCCTGGACTTTTACTTTTAGTCGATTTTGAAAAAGCTGTTGACACAGTCGAGTGGTCTTTTATATTAGAGGCTTTGCAGTTTTATGGCTTTGACCATACATTTATAAGTTGGATTAAGGCATGCTACTGTGATGCCTCTAGTGCAGTGTTAAATAACGGTTATATTTCAGAATTTTTTTCATTGAAAAGGGGGGTCCGTCAAGGGGATCCTCTGTCTCCTTATTTATTTATTTTAGTGCTTGAATTAATAAGTGCAGCTATTAAAAATGACCCTGATGCTGCTGGTGTAACAATTAATGACTCTGAATTTTTGTTGAGTCAATACGCTGACGATTCTTCTGTAGTCCTGGATGGTGACCAAAAGTCCCTAAATCAGTGTTTATATTTGTTTGATAAATTTTCAGAATGTGCTGGACTTAGGTGTAATATTGACAAAACCGAAGCCGTATGGATTGGGTCAAAAAAGGGTAGTATGGAAAAACGTTTGCCAGAAAAAAATCTTGTTTGGAACCATTCTGGTAGATTTAAACTATTAGGTATATGGTTTGAGCTTGCTAAAGTGGATAAGACTCTATGTAATTTTACAGCCAAGATAGACAGCATCAAGTCATTGCTAAATACTTGGGCTTATAGAGAACTAACATATATTGGAAGGGTTGTAGTTATTAAAACTTTAGCACTTCCCATTTGGTTCAAGTTCTGACTGTCCTTCCTAACTCCCCAGAAGGGGTTTTGAAGGAGATTAAGAATATATTTTTCAATTCTTTATGGAAAGGAAAACCTGATAAAGTGAAAAGGGCAGTGATTATGTCCGAACACTGTGATGGTGGTCTTAAGATGCCTAATTTTTTTTATTTTTGCTATAGTGTAAAAATTTTACACTTAAGTCAAGAGGGTTTGCATTATTTAGCTGAAAAAGTCAATCCCTTTTGGCATGATATCCTGGTAAATTTTTCCAAGTTAAAAAATAAGCTAAAAGCTGAAAACAATACTGAAATTCTGGCCTAGTCCATATGGCTGAACCGAAACATCAAAATGGATGGCATGAGATTTTGAGGTTCAATTATATTGAAAATTGTATATTCTTTATTAATGATCTGATGTCAGATAATAATACATTATTCTCATGTGATGAATTTAAAAAAAAGTATGATATCAATACTAAATTTGTAGAGTTTTATGGTATTTTAAGTGCGATTCCAAATAGATGGAAAAGTATAATAGAAGGTAGTTCAAAACTGGATATTATTGAAAATAAGTTAATATATATATATATAGATAAAGTTTAAATGGAACCAAAATCTTGTAAATTTTTCTATAAATTATTTTTGGAGGTTAATAAAGTGGTATCTTTAACTTCCCGTAATAAATGGGAAATAGATTTAAATATGCAGATTGAAGATTGGAATGCTATTTATTCCATGCCCTTCATTATAACCAGA